ACATTGACGGCAAATCAACTAGAAGCTCAGTGTTCCAGCATTCAGAGGAAGGGACTGCTCTCACAGCTAGAGATTGATGAGGTACAATACACATGCAACGGCAAGTGGGAGCCAGGATGACAGGGGGGTGATATCATCATGGAGCAATACTGGAAGAGCATATAGGAAAAGAACACAACCCACAACAGCAATGCTCAGTGGGTAGTGGATCTAAGAGGACACCACAGCAACCTCCCTGAACAAGGTCCAGTAACCATCACAGAGGCAGATATCAAGAAAGGGTCTCCAGTATGAAGAGTTGGACAGCACCAGGCCCCGATATGGTTCACGCCTACTGACAGAAGAAGCAGACTGCCACGAGCATCTGGCAGCATAAATGAACCAGCTGCTAGTCAATGAGACACACTCGGAATAGCTAACCAAAGGCCAGACAGTGTTGATCCCTAAGGACCCCCATAAGGGACCAGTCCCATCCAACTACCATCCAATAACCTGCCTCAGCACCACATGGAAGCTCCTGTCAGGCATCATAGCAGCTAAGATGAATAGGCATATGGCTCAAAACATGAGTGGGGCACAGAAAGGAATTGGCATCGGAATGTCATTTGGACTGGAGAAGTGTTGTTGGATGATAACAAAGAGAGGGAACATAGTCAGATCTGAGGGGATTGAACCGCCAGATGGCAACATTGCAGACACAGAGGACAGCTACAAGTAGCTTCTGACCCAAGTCCAGCACCCCAAAGCTGTATGCTAAGCGAAAGAAAGGAGGCTAGGGACTGGTGAGTGTCAGTACCACAGTCCAGGATGAGACAAACATCCAAGAATATATCAGCAAGATGGCTCCAACTGACTGTGCGCTCAATGAATGCTTCAGGCAGCAGAAACCCAATAAAGAAGAGGAAGACAAGGGATCTGCATGAGGTGGCAACATATTACAGGATCAGTGTCTCCACTGGTCTACGCAAAGCGGAGCTGAAGGCCGCTCTGGTGTCTGGGTTGTTGGAGAAGAGGGTGGTTGTAATGAAAGAACCACCGAGCACACCCGGTCCGGATGGACCAAGTGCAGCGCCTCATGTTCCAAGCCAGGTCGTAGAAACGTCAGTGTGTACACCTGTGGGCCAGGGGCTGCCCGAGGGTGGGCCAATGACGCTGCCCCGTTTTGATCCGCTCTCCACCCAGTCATCAGAGGGTTTTAAGAAGGATGCTAGGCTCAAAGTCCGCCTGGCTCGTCTCCAGCTGGAAAAGGAGGAGCGTGAGAGAGAGTTCCAGCTGAGAAGGGAGTTAGAGCTTAGGCGTTTGGATGTGGAACTGGCTAGGGCTAGGGAGGTTGAGCTGAAGAAGGTGGAGGCGGAGACTAAGGTCAAGCTGCGACAGCTGAAACTCCAGCAGGCCTCCTCCCCTCCTGTGGCGGCTTCGCTGTCACAGACAGAGGTACAGTTTGATGTAGGAAGGAATAGTCGTCTGGTCCCTGTATTTCGTGACACTGAGGTGGAGATTTATTTTGAATCATTTGAGCGGATAGCAACAGCCTTGCGTTGGCCGCGGGATGCGTGGGCCATCCTGCTGTAGTGCAAGCTGGTGGGCAAGGCACAGGAAGTATGTTCCTCGTTGTCCGCTGAGTGCAGTTTGGATTACGACAAACTGAAAGGTGCTATCCTGCTAGCCTACGAACTAGTCCCCGAGGCTTATAGGCAGCGATTTCGGGGGTTGAAAAAGGTGCAGGGTCAATCCTTCCTGGATTTCGTGAGGGAAAAGAGTGTCCTCTTTGACCGATGGTGTATGGCCTGTAAAGCTGCAGACCTAGTTTCGGTACGGGAGCTAATTCTCATTGAGGAATTTAAAAATTGCATCTCCGAGCGGATGGCAGTATATCTGAATGAACAGAAAGTCTCCACTTTGCAGCAGGTCTCCACACTGGCTGACGAGTTCGCACTCGTCCATAAAGCCAGTATCATTAAGCAAGAGCGACACGACACACTAGCGAAGGCTAGCAGTGCTAGTGGTGAGCAAGGCACAAGGGGGGAGGTGCCTGTGCCTTGTCCCAGGTCAGACCGAAAATGTTTTTACTCTTTTAAATCTGGCCATTTAGTAGCAAATTGTAAGACCTACAAACAGAAACAGTCAGTCTCGAGGGCTAGGAGTGTGCCTGCTAACAAAGCTAATGCTGGCATGGTTTCAAGATCCAGAATAAAGCTCTGTTTCTTTTGCCACAAACCTGGCCACCTGATTGCTCACTGTTCAAAAGCCAACTCAAAGCAAAATCGATCTGCTTTCAAAAGAGTGAACTGTGGTTCACAAACAGACAAGGTTGCCAGTCATAGGCAACAATTGGGAGCATAATTGCTCAGTGGTGTCATTTGGTGAATGTCAGAGGTCGACTAATTCTGAGCTGCCACCTGTTGATCATCGTCCAGATGACCTACAGTGTGACAGATTGTGTGCGACACAACCATTCCAACCTGCACCTCTGGCTAACCAGCATGCCTTTCGCCATGACCCAGCGAAGAAGCGTCAGAGAAGTGTTTCTGTAAGGCCTTCTAGCTGCCTGACGGGTTCTCCATATGTGATGGCTCAAAAAACTTCTGGCTGTCACTTGGGACACTATGTTGAGGGACTTGAGCCAACCCCATTCAGTGTTTTCAACCCATCAAAAAGGTCTTGGCAGATTTGGCAGGGTATGCCTAACCATTATTATGGTGCATGGTAGGTGATAGATTTAAGATTTGTGTAGGACATTCTGTGACAAACCACTGGTTTGTATTTATGGGAGGGGGTCTTACAGCCCTAGCCAGGCCTCCTGAAACTGCCCTTGTGTGGGTGTGGTGTTTTTTCTCCGCCTCCTCCTCTCTCTGCCCCTGCCTTCTCTTTTAGGACACACCTGCTGCTCATCTGCCCTCGTTTACCACCAATTACCCTCAGAGGTGATACAAGCTGGAGAAGAGCAGTGTGGATGTGGGAGAGGCTTCTGGTGGATTTCCTCTGTGCTGGTCAGTGTGTGAGTCTGGTCTAGGTGTGGAAAAGGCCTGCTGTGTGTGTGACCAGCCCCACCGTGCGTGGCTCTTTGTGAGTAGCTCTTAACTGAGCAGTGGTTTCACTTAGGTGACGGCGGCCTCCATTATTTTGTTTGGCCTGCCTGGTTATTGCCAAGAGCAGCGTTGCTGTCTTTTTCTGTTGAAGCCTTATAGTTGTTTTCTTTGTTGAAGTGGTCACCATCTCATTGGGTTGGCTTGTCTGATTTATCATTAAAGCAGCGTTGCTGTCTCTTTTTGTTGTTATTGTTTATATGAATATTGAGGTAATTGATTATAATAAAGATATTTTGTGTTAAATACCTCTGCCTGGCGTTCTTTTCATTTCAACCCAGATCCAACTGTTACTGTCCCCCACCCTCTTCGCCTAGCTTTCATGTGGGGACGTAACACATCATGAAAGGATAGACCCCTGCATGGTATGTACCACTGGCAGATAGAGGAAGTGGCTGATATCCAGAAGTCCTACCAGTGGCTGGACAAAGCTGGACTGAAAGACAGCAAAGAGGCACTAATCATGGCCATTGATAGATCGGATGGCTGTGGCTCAGGAGCTAGAGCAGGTCATCTGCTAGTTGGAATATTGGTGGTTTGATTCCTGCTCCAGTCTACATGCCAACGTGTCTTCGGGCAAGCTACCAAAACCCCCAAGTTGCTCTCAGATAGAATATAAATGGACTGGTTCTTATATAGCGCTTTTCTACTCTCACTGAGCGCACTCAACTCGTGCATTCACCCAATCATACCCATTGCTCACACAAGCACTTTATCTAAGGTTTTTAGTGCTTCTATCCAACATTCACTTGCATTCACACTCCAATGGATGCATCGGAGAGCAACATGGGGTTACACGCCAAGGATATTTGGTATGTAGACTGGAGGAGCCTGGGATCGAACCACCAATCGTCCGGTGAGTAGGTGACCTGCTCTACCACCTGAGCTACAGCCACCCCACAATGTCTGTGAATGCTATACAGAAAGCACTCAGGCATAGAAAAAGATGCTTGTATTAATGGATGTAATATATATAAAGCACATAATGGAATAACGAATGGTCAAGCAAGGCAAAAAGCAGGACATAAGAACCAGTCCAATTTCAATATTGTCATGTATTTTATTCAACTAGGATCTCTGCATTGGCTTTTAGCATCTGTATAAAACTCTGATGTTTTGGTTATATTTTTGCTGAAATATAGAAAATGTTAAAGTATTGTAAATTATTTCCTGCAACCATATATCAATATCACACCATGTGCACTATATTACTTCTGCTCTTACACCACTTCTCATTAACACAGAAGTCTGTTTGCTGTTTTATGCAATTCAACAAGTTACAGATGCTTTTCTTCTTTAGAGGTCTCTGACGACCTCTCAGTGCATCCTTGAACAAGTCTCTAATTCTGAAATTTCTATTAAGAGCATTATTCAGCGAACACACGTTTGGTAGCGCACTTTGACAGTCAGCGCAGTCCATAGATTGCTGTTAAGCCATATATAAGAATAAATAGTCATAAATAATCAAAATAACCAGTACAATGATTAATAATCATAAGCAGGAGATATAATCACACTGACATTCAGCTCTGACCACACCTTATTGATGCAGTGCACAAAGTTCAGGGATTTTAAAAAACACTATTTACATCTAAAATAAATCAACGACAAAACCTTTAATTTCAACTCAAACGCCTCTACACCATTTTGATCAACACCATTCTTTGCTAAACAATTTCAACTGATTTTAGGTAGAGCAGCTGTGGTTAATGTCGCCTTAGATTAAATATTTCTAACATCACACGCCATCCATTAATCTTTAGCATCTACATTAACCATCATATCTAATGTAAGATAACTAACACATTTGTTTGTGACATAAACAGTTTTGTTAAACGTATAATTTACTAAGATGAGTCACCCACATTTCCACGTGTTAATCGTGCTTTGATTGTCTCTGTATTTTTCACTTACGTGCCATGCTTTGGGGTCTCCCCAGTACCGGCCCACCTTCGCACCCGGTGAACGTGCTTATAACATTCCCCGGTAATGGCAAAATATAGAAATAAAATCAGAGATTTGGTCAAATAACGCATCTTGACTGCGTGAATCTACCGGCGAGTCCCTTAAAAGTCCTTTTCAGACGGTTCATTACAGCAGGAATCAGTCGGTTGCTCATGGTTGTCAGCAGAGGATGGACGTTGTCTCGCTCATGGCATCACACTCTGCCTCACGAGGCAGCTGGAGAGGAACGTGTCTGTGTGTGATCCTGCACTCTGCCTGCACTTATTTCCCGCGAGCGAGAGAGCGCGAGAGGAACATCTGCAGCCTGCATGCACCGAGAGGAAACACACACATACAAGTAAGACTGCCACTGTGAGGACTGACAGATAATGAATTCCCTGTATCTATGCTAACTCCAACCTTAAACATTACTTTCTGCCGTTCTTAAAAGGTCCACCACAAACGTCAAGATGGTTCTCACAAAGACAGTTCGCGCGCGCGCGCGCGCGCACACACACACACAGACACACACACACACACACAGCGAGAGAGAGATTATGCTGCTTGGTATGACACAAGAGAGCCAGATTATAACCCCCTCTAAATAAAAAATAAATAAAAACCTCATCACAGGAATCACGTTTCACCCAGCTCAGAGGCATGTTGGAACATTTTAAATGCAACCATTCAATGCAGCGCTGGCTGAAGCATTTCTGGGGATCTGGGCAGAAATATCCACCAAGTCACATGATATCTTATGTTGGTGTGATTTGCAGCTGTACTTAGCAGGAGACCATTTATACCCATATGGAAAATATATATATAAATCTTATAAAGTTTGTATCTGCCTTGTGTGAAACTTGTATGAAAAGCATATAAGAGTGAAAACAGATATAAGATCCCTTGAAAAATTATATGAAACTTGTATGTTTTGGATACTTCCTAAAACAATATATGAAAGTAATGAGAAAGTGGCCACTTTCATGAGTAAATCATGTAAGCTTTTACTGTTTCTTTTCCATATGGGTATGCTGCACATGGAGCTCCATCAAAATTCTACTCCTATGACAAAGCCAACATATATTTGTATGAATAATAGTAAACAGTATGTCTTTAGGACCAATCATACATACAAAAAATAGACTAACAAATCAGTACTGATAAGTCCACTTATTTTAGGCTCTCACGTGGGATTGGCTCTCTCTGCCTTAGAGCATCACTTCCTGTTCCTGTTACAACACACAGTGGTGTTTTTTAAGGAAAAACTCACAGATAACATCTTATTTCATTGTGTGATCGTCACATGCTTTATCCAAAGTGCATTCTCTCCTGAATCACCCACTAGTTGTTTCACAGTATTTATCACTGTGTCTTTAGAGATTTGTCAGCTTAGTTTAGTTTGTAGCCGACTCGCTAGCAGCATGGCTTCTTCACCTGTCCCTCCTGCACTGTCCTGCTTCTTAGTAAGTAAGTAAGTAAGTAAAATTTTATTTATATAGCACATTTCTAGATAGAGATCACAAAGTGCTTTACAAGATATAACAGATTAAAAAGACAAAATACAAACAAAGTTAGCAAAAGGCAGTTTTAAAAAGATGTGTTTTTAGCTGTTTTTTAAAAGTAATCAATGAATCAGCGGATCGTAAGTCCTGAGGAAGGGAATTCCACAGTCTGGCGGCCACAGTAGCAAAAGCTCTATCGCCCCTAGTTTTCAGTCTCGTATACTGAATGACAAGTAGGCCCTGACTACTCGACCTCAGAGACCTACTAGGGCATAGGGCTGTAAAAGTTCAATGATATATGGTGGTGCTTGTTGTTGAAGAGCCTTGAAAGTTAAAACCAAAATCTTAAACTGGACTCTAAATTCAACAGGAAGCCAATGTAACTGCATGAGCAACGGTGTTATATGTGAAAATTTAGAAGCTTTCGTCAAAAGTCTTGCTGCAGCATTCTGAACGATCTGCAGACGCTCCAAAGAACCTTTATTTAAACAAGTAAACAGGGAATTGCAATAGTCCAGTCGTGAAGAGATAAAAGCATGAATAACAATCTCCAGTTCGGTATAGGATATTATAGAGCTCAATTTAGAAATATTTCTTAAATGATAAAAGCAAGACCGAACAAGAGATTTAACATGACTATCTAACGTAAGAGCAGGATCAAGGATAATCCCTAAGTTCCTGACAGATGGTTTTACAAACGTTGAAAGAGGACCAAGAGCATTTATTATACTGGGTATATGTCTATCTGGGGCACATAAGAGGACTTCGGTTTTATTTTCATTTAGTTGGAGGAAGTTTTCAGCCATCCAGCCTTTAATGGTTTCCAAGCACACATTTAAAAGCCGCAGCTTAGAAGCCTCTTCCGGTTTAAAAGATATATAGAGTTGGATATCGTCTGCATAACAATGGTAACAAATATCCTCAAAAGGGCTCAAAATGTGCTGAAGAGGGAGTAAATAAACTAAAAACAGTAATGGCCCTAGCACAGAGCCTTGTGGCACACCGAAAGACAGGGACGCAGAAGATGATCTATACTTAGAAACTGCCACAGAAGAATATCGTTCAGAGAGATACGAGGAGAACCATTTCAATGCAGTCCCAGAGACACCAACCCAGTGTTTCAGCCTGTTAAGTAAAATATAGTGGTCAACAGTATCAAAGGCCGACGTAAGATCCAACATTAAGAGAACAGAACATTTACCTGCATCGCTTTGTAACAAAATGTCATTAGAAACTCTAAGAAGGGCTGTTTCAGTGGAATGAACTTTACGAAAGCCAGATTGAAATTTGTCGAAAATACTATATTTATCTAAAACTGCTGTAAGCTGCTAGCCACGATCTTCTCTAGAATCTTAGCAATTAACGGAATTTTTGAAATTGGTCTATAATTGCTAGGGAGAGATGGGTCCAGCATAGGCTTTTTTAACAAGGGATGTATAACAGCAGTTTTAAAATAGGCAGGGACTATGCCCGAGGCCAAGGAGGTATTAATTATAGTAAGAATACAGGGACCAGTAGAGTAAAAGACATTTTAAATAATGATGCAGGTAAAAAATCAAGAGAGCAAGAGGATAATTTTGTTGCACTAACTATTTTTCCCAGCTCTGGTAGTGAAACAGGTGAAAAACCTTCTAAAACAACAGGCCGAGCTGGCGTGGGAACAGACAGCGCAGACGCTGAAAAAGACAGGTTTTTCCTTATGTTGCTAATTTTTTCTAAAAAGAAAGCAAGAAAAGTTTCACAATCTTCAACAGACGAAATAATAGCAGCAGGTGGAGCAGGAGTAATAATATTAGTAATAGTATCAAATAAAACTTTAGGATTACCTCTGCTCCTTGCAACCAACTGAGAAAAGTAAGCAGCCCTCGCAACTCTAATAGCATTGTTAAAAGAGGCTAAAAGATCCTTTAAATAGAGGAGATGAACATTTAAGTGAGTTTTCCTCCATAACCGCTCAGTTTTACGACAATTACGTTTTATAAGACGAATGTTGTCATTTAACCAGGGTACAGACTTGGAAACAGGCACAGGTCTCATTTTAATCGGACAGATTTCATCTAAGATCGAAAGACAATGATAATTGAATAGATCTATAGAAAAATCAACATCGTTTTGTGGGGATAATGTTAAATTAAAAGCATCAGAGAACTTCTGTGCTGTGGAGGAGTCTAAAGTGCGGGAAATAACTGTCCGATGAACAGGAGACATAGGCTCATAAAAAGACATATTAAAAAAGACACAATAATGGTCAGAAATAAAAATGTCCTTAGAACAGATATAATCAATATTCAGACCCAAAGAAAAAACAAGGTCCAGTGTATGGCCTTTGTTATGTGTGGGGCCAGATACATGTTGGATAAAATGAAAAGAGTCCATGATACTGGTAAAACTCCTAGCAAAGAGGTCGGACTCATCATCAATATGTATATTAAAATCTCCCACAAGAAGCAATTTAGACAACCTCATAGTAGAGGACAGAAAATCACTAAACTCTGCTAAAAACGAGTTGTTTGGGCCAGGAGGGCGATAGACCAACGCACAGTAAAAAGGATCCTTCTTTCCAATTTTGATGAGCTGCAGTTCAAAAGACAGAAAGTGTCCAACTTTCACTGAACGGCAGTTAAAACGGCTCCGATATGCCACCGCGAGGCCTCCTCCACGACCAGATCCTCGAGGCTGGCTAATGACAGAGAAGCCATTTGGGCACATTTCAATAGTAGACGAATAATCCGACCCCCGTTGCCAGGTCTCAGTCAAGAACAGGAAGTCCAGATTTTTAGAAACAATAAAATCGTTAAGCACAAACGATTTATTCGTCAAAGATCGGGCATTAAAGAGCGCCATAGACAGCGGGGTGAAAACATTGTTGTTGGAAGAAGCTAGAGTTTCTCGAATTAAAGGGCGTAAATTCTCGGGATCAGACCCTTCACGTTCATATATTCCACTCACCGAGGGATGAAAAGCCAGTCGGCAGGAGAGTCTGGATGAACCCTTCTGAGATAACACGGCCTTGGAGAGCCGGGCCCCCTATATCCAAGTAGGGCCTTGGGAGACAGATTCCTCTCCATATAGCTGTCATGTGCGTAGGCAACGGAAAACGCCCGACATCGCTTTCCAATTCGTCCCCGCCGCCAGAGGAGCCTAAGCTTCACCTGGATGCCCGATCTCTTTCCTCTTCTTCTCCGTAGTCTACGGGGAACGCTGAAAGCGCTGGCCGAAGATCCAGTCACAGGCAGAGGGTGGAAGGTACCAAAGGAGTGCGGAGAAAAGTGTGGAGAATGGAAAGTCCCACAAAAGGAAGGAGAAAAAACATCCTTGGCCGTCATTGACGAACGGATGGGTAACAGCGTCAGACGATCGTAGACCAAGGCAGCCAATACATCATTAAAACAGTTAAAAAACAGCAGAGTAGAAAGAAAAAACACGACAATAGAGCGAGACCAACTACACCCGGCAGCGGCGAAGCCAAACACAGGCGCCATCATGCAGGTAAGCTGTGTGTGTGGAGTGTGTCATATGTTTAGCTACTCATTGGCCTCCTTTAATAATAATGATATTTGTCATAAATGCAGCCTGTTTACAACTCTGTAGTCCAGGAATGCTGAACTGGAGACCTGGCTCCACGCCACTGTAGCTAACAAGGCCCCTATAGATGGTACGGCTGCATGTAGCATAGCCACCATTAGTTCTCACCCAGCAGGTTGTCCCAAGCGGCTGGTAAACAGGATTGTTGGGTGACAGTCAGGAGGAAGCATAGTCCTAAACAGAAGCCCCTGGTACGCCACCAACATGGCTTGAATCATTTTTACCCACTAAGCGGAACAAACTCTGGATTATTGGCGATTCTAATTTGAGACGTGATTCTACAGATACTAGCAACCACAGTCAATTGTCTTCCAGGGACCAGAGCAGGCGACACTGAGGGAACCCGGTAA